AGAGCTGGGTTTAATATTTGAGCTTTTGGAAACAGAGCTAGCCGGAAAAGTACTAACTGTCAGCCGCTCATCTAATCTTGGCACAAATTTACATATTTATATATATCAACTATTTTTCAGCTAACTATTGGAACTATGGAGAGTGAATATTTGCTTTCAAAATATTTTACTCAAATTTTCAATTCAATTTTCAGCAAAAGAACAAACACTGTTTCACTTCACCTAGGAAATTACACGCTCAGCCCATTTAATATACCTAAATGCATACAATATTATTCCTCGCCTACAATAACAGTTCAAAAATAAAACAAAAAATTAAAAAAGTGGAGAGAAATGCAAACTAAAGGTACGTATGTATGTGTGTATTTCGAAGCCGTTGTATTATAGAAGCGGTTGTCTGAACTGTACATTGGCGCTTGTGAAGGCACTGTAGGGCAATGACCAAAAATTAGGGCAAGACTACACAGTTGAGTGAATCGCATAAAAAATTGTAATGGAAAAAATTCAAGTGAATTCAATTAATCAAAATTGCACAACGGAATAAAAATGCAGTTAAACGCAGACAATGTTCGGGTATGTATATTTGTATACTTGTGGAATTTGCCAACTTAACTTCGTTTAGAATCTTAGAAATTTCTCAATACATAATTTAATCGTATTTTATGATTGGAATAAATATTTTTGCGTAAAGGAAATAAAAAAACAAAAGTTGCATATTGAGTGCTTAAAATCAATATACTTTAAACAAAAAGATAATAAAAGAATGTTATACAAACAAACAAAAAAGGTTCTACCACAAACAGATATATACAAAAATTGTAATGTTTCTTTCCATAATTTGTGTTTGCTCCCAACAGCAGCAATATTTTCCAAATACAATTACTTCCGGCGTTTCGCGGTGAAAGGATAAACAACGTGGCAACGATTAAATATATATCTATGAAAGTACGTATGTACATACTTTTCACCAATCTGGTATTTTCAAACTATGCATTTTCTTCACACTCTACCACAATTGTTCACTGGCCATCGCTGTCACTTGCAGTTTATATTAGAGTTGCGCTGCTTTGGTCGTCGTTTATTGTCTGCTCGCTTGGTATGGGTAATGGGTTTTGTAATTGAATTTTGCAGTTATGCAACAAAAACTAGTAGTTCTAGTGTGTAGGGTTTGAGGGGTACGAAATTTTGGTAAAGTTAATTTCTTTTTGGCAAGTATCACGGCAATAAGTTTATTATGGCAAGCCATTATGTTTGAATGGCATACCATTAATGGGTGACAAATAAAGTCGTAATAAGAATAGGAAAGGGTTCCTTGCAGCGAATGTTTTTATGTTTCATATTCAAATATCAATTAGGTAGCACAGAGCGTTGTGTATGTAATTACCATTCAGAGAGGGTTCAATTAACGATAAGCACTTAAGGATATAGAAAAGCAAATTTTTTAAGATCTTAGACGTAGTATGTTCTGGGTGGCCAACAAATATTCGTTCGGAGGCGAGCTGAAGTGGGGCATAGGGCTCCGAAACACCACATAAAACTTCGGCTTGAATGAAAAAAATTAATAATAAGCCTGGATTGAAAGTCAGAATTCATAGAACGACCCATGCAAATGATTTCAAAAGGTGCCGTTGTTGAGCTGGTTGATGTCCTCGTATGACAAGGTTAACATTACTGCTGTACATGATGTGTGATAAACAATAAGAAGACTGAAGAATGTGCTCTTGTGATATCTACAATGGCGGTCTAAGGTAAGTTGCGTGAAAGAGATTCCATCAAAGTTCTTCAACTTATAGCCGATTTGCAACCGCGATACAATGGAAGAGTAGGACGTTGTGAACAAAGATTCTTTCCTTGATTACCTAGAGCTTACTTATGACCACAGCCCTTGTCACGATATCAAATTTTTTACGCCAGAGCGAGCAAGGAAGGTACATTCGAAAAATTCTGGGTGTTGTAGCAACAGACATTGGCATACGAAAATTCAACAAGCTGCATAGGTGAAACAGAATCGAAAATAACGCAACCAAATTGAGACTGGGTTTAAAAAGTTACAGCCCAACAAATTATAAAAAAATTTCGGTATTATGTCCAAATACCGCTGGAGAATTATCAAAATGTTATTGTTTTTGATTGCTAATGCAGCACTTACTTTGAACAGAACTTTCTCATGGGTAAATACATGGCAATAAGAAGCTAACACGTTTTTTGATCCTGCAAAGTCCCCTAACTCACGCCACATCTTTTTTTGGTTTGTGAATATTTTTTTTTTTGATCCCTTACCGCCTCAGTAGGACATTCACTGAGATCTGCAGCAAAGCAACCTTTATTTCATTGGAATATTTAACTGGGTATAGATTGAATCAGCATTTACAATAGTCCATTTTCGCGGTACAAAAAACTCATCTAGAAAACGGGCCGTGTAAATGTAGTTGTACCATTAACATGGGATTCCATTTTTTTTTTTCAATATATTCGTGAAATTATCCATGACCGAATTAAGCTCCGATCTGTTGAGTGCTCCAATGAAACTCCTGTCTATGAAAGCAATAGACGGAGCGATTTACATCCTCCAAATTTCTTGGCTATACTTTCTATTTGCTAGACATGTTAGTCTCCTACTAACGGTGTATAGAATAATATTGCAACAGAGGCGACGAGTCAAATTGTTAATTAATCTGATTTCATTAATAAGCTCTATTTAGAGAATTTAATTTTTAAGATAATTTATTAGTACTATGATTTAATAGATCACTATTCACTTGTATTTAGCAATCACTGTTAATTCATGCATTTTAATAAAAGCAAATTATTAGTCAAAATGTTAATTCCTTTGAAAATTGCAGGAAAATTATATTAGAAAAGGAAAAGTAAATACACCTTTTCTACCGCTATTTACGGAAAAATAAAACCACAAAAGTTTCAGAAAAATAAAAATTTGTTTCGAATACCTTTTCTGAAATGCTTGTATGTAGATTTCTCTATGGCAAAGAGATACTGACGCCATGATACAATACTTTAAAGGCAGTTTCATTCTCTCTTCGAAATCGACTCCATTGCTATCTTACATTAAGAGTGTTTCGGTTTTCCCGGGCTACCCTCTCCTCTTAAAAAAATCTACCATTTGAAATAAAAAATATGAGGAAAATTTTCATGTATTTTTTAAATGATCAAATATTCAAAAATCACGTATTTTCCAATCTCCAATAGTGAACAACATCGAGTGTATGTCTTTTTATGATTCTTGTATTACATCTTTAGTAATTTGTAGGAAAGTATCAGCAAGGGAAGTAATTTGCCCACCAAAATTTTATCGAATTCAAGAAGGGGAGGAGCTGCCTGCATTTGGTATATTAACGTTCGAATGAAAATTAGGCTCACAGTTTTAGAGATGTTTTATGCAAATTTCGTAAGCAAACAGGATATTGTTTTAGTAATTGCTGATTTTTTAGAGCAGTGCAAATTCACTGTAAAAATCTTATAGTTACACTTGAAGTCGATTAAACTTTCAAACACTTTGAATTTAAACTAACCGCCAAATACATTGATGCTGGTAAGTTAGTTAGTAAAGCAGTTTGTGCGATCACGCAACCCTGAGCTCTTGATGATACCTATGTTGGTTCTACGAAGAAGATTTCTCTCACCTTCATTGATGCTCAAACCAGTTGGTGTAATTAACGAAGGTCAGGTGATTAATGATGGCTGGGCAGGCAAGTTATGCTAAGCAACCGAAGAAGAAATTTTCGAGAAATGGATAACGGATCGCAGAGGTATAAACTCCGGTCAGTTCATCGATCCCGCAGCTCCCTGGGTGTACCTATAACCAGAGCCTAAAACCAGGGACTTTTGGTATACAGTTGAGAAAAAGCCAAAAAAAAATGAAAAGTGGCCATTCTTTCCATATTATTTATTTATCTAGCTTGAAAAAAATATTTTAATAGATCTATACGTGTTTTCAATATTATTGCATCTGCTTAGAAAATTACCCCAAAATAATTGAAATATCTCCAAGTTGAAAATTTTTTAAGTGGCAAGATCAAACATTTCTCAGCAAACACGTTTACTATTAAAAATTACGAAGTGAAACTACCTTCTAGAACTTTTGTATCACGAATGAAATTACTTTTAAATTGATGCTCTATAATATTTTTGAGGTGGCTTTAAAAGCAATAAATATTTTTTTTATTTAATTTTTATTTTTTTTCAAAAGCTTTTGTAGTTTTGTGAAGTAAAAATATTTTCCTCCAACATATTTGGAAATTCATATTTTTAAGAATTATGAGAAAAGGTGTTGGTTTTTGATTTAGTAAAAAACAAACAAGAAACAAAAAATTCATAAAAAAGAAATCTGCTTACCTCTTCAACTTAAAAACGGCTTATTTACAAATCTCATATTTACTTCTTTTTCCTCGCTTCAAAAATCAACCAATTAATCAATGAATTAGCAATTCAAAATCATAATTTACAAGTAGCTAGTAAATGAGAAATATAACAAGAATCAGTAATACGTGGAGTAAAACTACCGGTAGATGTTGGGTGTGTTCTGACAAATAAAGTTGTGGTGCTTTTGTGGCTGTTTTGAATTTGCTTTTGTTGTTACGGAGGCTCTGGGTTCTTGGACAACACATATGCAGTTGCTTTTATTGTCGAATTTGTTTTGGAGTTTAATAATACGATTTCCAAGTGCACACAAAATATTCTATCACCAATACACAGTGTTGCTGGGGTCTCTAGTACTCAACACTAAATACATATACAAAACAAAACAAACTATGTACTTCTAATAGATGAACATATAACATATTGAGAGCGGTCGGAATACTTTCTATAAGTTTGTTTTATAGTGACATTTAACACTTATTTCAGATTTCTCTCTATACTTGTGTGCATTTTGAATATTGTTTCATTTTTGTGCCGTGTAGCGTCATTCGCCATTTGTTTACTGTTTACTGTTTATTCTTCTCTACTTCCCCTTCTCACTCTCACATACGCAATTCGCCTACCTCGAATTGGGGCTCGCCGATCTGCTGCGTTGTTGTTGTTGCGTCTGATCATTTACATAATGTACAATGGCCGAGGTGACCTCCTTAATAGAGCTTTGTATTTCCGGTGTGACCGGTTGTAATTTACTACCACCCTTGTCAGCGCTACCATTCGTAGTAACACCGACACCGGCGTTCTTTTGTGTGGGCGATGTGCGTTGTTGTTGCGCGAGTAATGACGATGCCAAGCTATCAAGTAGAATAAGAAAATGGTAAAAATTAATGTCTAAATTGAAAACATATGATAAACACATTTTCTACTCACCGCTCATGTGGGGTGCGCTGTGACAGTTTCTCCTGACTGCGCCAACCCAAATATGGCTGCCGGTAGGAACTTCTTATCACACTACTTTGGCCGCTAGCCACCGATATGAAACTGGAGTTGATGGGTCCGCCACGCGTGAAGGAGCCACGCTGCGAAACGCTCGGTGATGTTTGTGATGAATTCAAATGCGAAGTGGACCAACGTGAGAAAGCGCCAGCTCCGCCACCGCCACCACTAGCGCCATAAGCGCCGACTGTACCCGCAGTACCGTGCTGCTGTTGTGCACCTTGTCCTCCGTGATGACTATGCGCTGATGGGCTGAGTAGTAATGGACTGCGATCGGAACGCTGTGAGCCCAGCGAACTGAGTGATGTAGTTTTCGAATTGAGTCCTGCCCAACGGCCGGATTCTGTGGTGCGTTTGCGTGTGAAATTACCCGGCTTATAGACAGCAGTCGCATTGTTGCCCCCCTCTGGCGAACGTGATGTATTCTGATTGTATTGTCGGAACCAGTCGGGTATATTGAGGCGTTGCAGTGAGGCCTGTACGCGCAGCTGGTGCTCACTCAAGGCGGCCGGATTGTGATCGTGCGATTTCTGAAGCTCATTTTCGGGCGGCTGAAAGGAGGCAAATGAGAACAGAGAGAAAGTGTTAGTGATTTTGTGCAATATTTCTCAAATAAAATTAGCTTAAATAAAATGCTACGTCAGATATTTAAGAGTAAATGTAAATTATTTTTAGTAGCTAGTGTTTCTACTTTTGTAATATAGTTATTAACAATTATGTTTCATATAAATAAATAAATAAATAAATAATTAAAATAATTTTAAATATGATTGTTTCTTATATTTCCTATAGTTTTTTGAGTTATATATTATGGAGTAATGGGTCATGGGTACAAATCCAAAATTACGAAATAAAATTAATTGCCATCGCCATTCGGTGGCCATCTTTCGGAAAGTAGTTCGAGAAAGCTTTTTACATAAAATGACTTTGGTGATCTGTATCTCGCATTGTATTGTATAAGTGCAATTAGATTACAGTAGAGGGCATTGATGCTGATTACTTAATGCAATGGTGTTGATCGCCTATCAAAGGTGGACACCACCACAGAGAAAATACGTTATTTTCTACAATTTATCTCCAATAATGGCAAAAATGTTATTCAGACAGGTGAAAATTTTAATATGATACTGAATGGTCTATCACGCAAAATTTTGGTTTCGTCGATTTTATTTCGACTGATGAGTGAAGAACAGTGAACAGACACAAGCGGGCTCCAAGCCAAGATTCACCGCCAAGAAGGTTTTATTGTGTGTTTGGTGGGATTGGCAAGTAATCAGCCTCTATGAGTTGCTACTCTACTGCAAAATTCTTAATTCGGACCTGCACTGTCAGCAACTACACCGTCTAAGGGAAGCGTCGCCCTTAATTATTATTTTAATGTTCAAAAAAACTTTTCCCCCAAAAGATCGATGATTTCGATGTTTGTGTAGCACGTAGCGGCGTCTTGTTGAAAGTAAACGTTATCCAGATCAATACCAGCCAATTCCGGCCATCAAATCAAAAATCATTAATCATCTCTCATTTTCGAAAAAATAAAGGTCCAATGACTCCACCTTATCATAAACCACATAAAACAGTTACACGTTGAGGATGAATAGGCTTTTCAACAATAATGCTAGGTTTTAACCAGTCCAAGTTGTGACAGTTTTGCTTGACAACGTGGCGGAATTTTAATCATTTCAATGTGTTGTTGAAGCGTGTATCGTTCCACTTTTATTATAATACTTGTCAAATGTCAAAAAATTACAGCGTCAAAAGTGACAGCAACTGGAATAGCAGACTACTCTTATTCAAAATAACAGTTCTTATTGTAAAATCATTTATCGTACAAAAATAATAGAAGATGAAGCGAAATTTTTAAAAATTACTATTTAGCTTAAATGTTGTGACACAAAAAATTTGCTAGAAATTAGTTGCCCTTTTGGCATTTCCAATATTAATTTTATTTATATTTTTTCCATGAATAATCAGCCTGTTTCTGAATGCTAACTTTAATTAAAAATATATTCGACTCAACTCAATTGTACAACCTTTTGATCTCGAACATGAAATTGCCAACAAATTCTACAAAATCATGTCATAATATTTTCAAAGCTTGACGTTGAGGTTATAGAACTAGCTCGTCATATATACAATGGGCGAGACAATGTATTATATTATAAAAAAAGTAAATTTTTCCATGATACAATAATTTAAAGATACTTTCATAGCTATCTGACATTAAAGGTGTTTCGTCGTTTTCGTGCTGCCGTATTCTCTTGAAAAAAATCTATAACTTTTAAGTAAAGAGTATGTGAAGAATTTTCAGTTTTTTTTTTATATATTATATTTAAACGTTTAAAAATCACTTTTAATATTGCATATTCCAAACCCTTATAGTGGACTCCATCCAGCGTTTCATGATTGTTGTATTAGAACTTTGGAAAATTGTAAGACAATATTATCAGTCAAAATCAGTCTTACAATTGTGAAAATGTTTTGTAAGCAGACAGGACATTGTTTTAATAATTATTGGGTTTATAGAGCAGTGCAAACTCAATATAAAAATCTCATAATTACGTCATGTAAGTCGATTTAATTTCAATCTTATCGCTAAATATATTGATATAAGTCAGTTTGTAATTTAAACAGCTTGCTCGATCTCGTAATGGTACATATGTTGGCTTTTTGAAATGGGGGAGGGGACCCTTTCCAGATACTCAAACCGCTTGTGTATTTTACGAAGTATTATATTAATATTCCCTAGAGATGCAAGCTAAGCATCCGAGAAATCGATAACGGGCCGCACTTAAAGCTGGGCAGTCACAGAAAAGCTGTTTGAGCCCATCTTTCTACAATGTCCGGTTAATACGCCGGTTGTTCGCTAATGGTGATCATGCTTAGAAGAAGTAAGGACATCACTTTGATCTGCTTTTGGCCGTTCTGGTAACAGTTAGTCTTAACAAATACTTAGCCGAGGAAAGAGATGTGTCTACAACATGTACAAAGTTTACCGGTGTTATGACTATCCCTGTTCGGTTAGCTCATCAACCTGATCCCTGGGGTGTATCTATAACCACGTAGCCCAAGCACGAATTAAGTAAACCTATAAGTCAAAGTTTCGAAATACAGTAAAAAATGTCGATTGTCCATTTTATTTAAAAGAAAAAACCTTCTCTTACTTCTGCCACCTAAGGAAAACGGCTTGAAACAAATATTTTAATAGATCCAGAGATGTTTAAAAGATAAGCCTAAAATAATTTAAAATATCTCCAAGTTTTATAAGTGGCAGGATCAAACATTTCTGAACAAATACGTTTAGTGTCAAAAATTTCGAGTTCTGGCACGACATTATCCACCTTTTTGAATGTTCCCTTAAACAAACTCATCTTACACGTTTCTCACTATGGTTGTGATCAATGATACCTCACAACCACAACAAGCATAAATTTCTCTATCTCGTCATCCAAGCATTGCTGTGAAATTGTTCTAAATATTTTGATGATTATTGAATAATTTTTCATTTCATTTCATTTTACTAAAATTTTAATTAACTCAAATATCAATCGTTATTTTTGCATAAAATAGTTGCATTTATTAGTCTTTTGAATTTTTTGTTTAATTTTATATACAAACACTAGCAGACCCAGCGAATAATAATAAAATATATGTAGATAGTTCAAGTCTGAATGTGAATTATTTGAATGAACTCGATCAGCAAGTAATAACAAACAACAAAGAAGTTTTGTCAATCCGTGAACATAAGCAATTCTCATAAAATTACTTAAAACAAATTAAGCGGTTTCAGATAAGATAAGTTCAAGCAGCCCATACGAGCAATTGTCATAGTGCACGCTATGGAATTGGAAACCTATCGGGTTATGGAATGGACCGTCCATATCCGAAAATTTTTTATATATTATTCCAAACCATAAAAAACGATTTTTTCGAATAGATCTGTCCTAGGTACTATTCCTGGAAACAAAAGTGAAGTTTCTGCTAAACTAATCAAATTTCAATAAAATCGTACTATAAAAACAAATTTTTTAATAGATCCTAGCCTGGTCCGCTTCCAGGAGAAAAGTGCAGTCTTCCCGTTAATCTTAGAAAAAAGCCATCTATGTCTTAATTTGAAAATAGATAACAACCTTTACGCAGACTTAACGAATACACATACAAAATTTCAGCAAAATCGATCAAGCCGTTTCGGATGGGTATGTGTCCTCGTAGACTGTAACCGGAGAATTTATATATATTTTTTTTGAAACAAAAACCTTTTGTTGTATCGCAAATGATTTCGTTTTGCTATCGATGTTTCCAAGTAATAAGTGTCAGCTGCCCACTTTCTCCTAACAGTAATCATACACAAGAGTTGTTTTTAGCCTTGCCGGCATTTTATTTGAGTTTAAGAAATAAATGTAAGTGAACGTTAACAAAATAATCAATACAACACACAAACAATAATACCAGTCAAGGTGAGGTACATAATTTAATATATAATATTTAAGAAATTGAACACCATTAATTCAGAGTCTCCACACCCAGCATCTTGTTAGCTTTAACCAATTCCTGGTGATTAATTTGTTGATAAGTAATCAGGGCATCAAGAACCGCATGCAATTGCTCGTTACATCTGCTATAACATACGTCAGCTTGACGCATTAGGAAGTACATGAAGCCCTCCAAATTTTCTAGACTATAACCTTTGAAACCCTTTTCCTGTCCAATATCGTCGATGGCATTAATTACGGCACGTATCTTACGCATGTGATACGGTATTTCCTTGGCTACTGCTATTCGAGTTTTAGCGATCAGCGAGTGATTTGAATATTTACGCATACGATCCTCCAGAGCCACCAACTGCACCTTCTGTACCAGTAAGCGTTCCAACATTTCTGGCATGCTTTGTGTGGGCTTGTTATTGTGTGACTTCTTGCTTTGTGCATATTGTTTTTGTTCATTTTCATAGAGTTTATCCAACTCCTCGTTGTCGTCTTTAGTTTTGAGATAATTATCACGTGAAACTTTGCTACTAACACGTGGCCAAATCGAGCCTCCATCGGCACTAAGCACTGAGGCTGCATCGTAATAGCAACTGGTACCTGAGGGGGAACCAGTGATGTTACGTATCTCACTGGTATCCAAATCTGAACCGGTTTCCGAGTAATCCAAATCACCTGCTCTTACAGAGCTTGTATTCGAATTTGCCGAGCCGTAGCCGGAATTAGGCCAACCACAGCGATTACGTTCATCCAAAACAGGTGTTGCACCCTGTAGACCCAAAAGCATGCTATAGCTGCTTTCCATTGAGAATTTCGAAATGAACTGCTGCTTGTCGGGCACGCGTGAAAACTCGATATCATCGACGCCAAATTGTATCTGCATCTTGAATTTTACGTTGTCCTTGAGGAAAGCGAACATTCGTTCAATCTTCTCAGGAGCTAAATATTTGCCCTTAAATGGCATTGCCAGATCACCCGAGCAGAACCAATAGTGTGAGAGGCCTTGACTTTTGGGTAAACTCTTCGTGATACATGTCTTTCCGTTCGGCTTGTCTACGAAGAATTTGTAATCGTCAATGCCAAAGTGCAAATCATATGCCTCACAGCTTTTCTGAGAGAATATATTGTATAAAGCACGTATACGTTGTGGTTCATGGTAGGCGATGTCCAAAGAAATGGTAAAGTCACCGACACGTACCCAAAATTTGGATGTAGGCTCTTGCACTGTACGCTCGATGTTATTGCCGCTGCTTGCGTTGGAATTGAATGAGTTGCCAATATGGCTCACATCAGCGCCGGTGTTGGGTGTTAAGGGCGTTTGTGTACGTTCAACTTGCTCCAGCGGATGATCTTCGGATATAACTTGCATAGCAAGAGAACTGCGGCGTCCTTCCTCAGTTAACGACGTACGGCGACGTCTTGCGTTGAATGCACATACAGGGCTGATTGATTGTTGAAAGATCTGACGTGCTGCATTGCTCTTAAAAACCTCATGCGGCTGTGGCAGGTTGTGATACATGTTGTTGATCGGTGTTGAGGAACAATTTGTTAAATTTTGTTGTGGACTTTGCTCCATTTCGGAAGTGAGTCTAACGAAAAGTGGCGTGCTCCTATGCAATGGTTCTGGAGGCGCTCCTGTTGCACGACGTACTGGTGGGCTTTCCATTCCATTTGAACCGGTCTCAAAACCGAGATCCACGAAACTATCGATCAGCTGTTGCATTGTGTTCTCTGGCTCACGATTTTGGATTTTCTGTTGTTTCGGCGTCTCAGGTGTTTTCTGCATTTGACGTTGTTGTTCCAAAACAAGTGTTGGTGAGCTTAGCGAACTTTGTTTGTACATGCTAAGACGCCGCTGTAAATTCGGATCGGCTTGTGGCAAAGGTGTAGGCAAGAGATTGCTTTCAGTTTGTAATAATGAGGTCGGCAAGGTTGTGAGTGTGTAAGCGGATTTTATCTTCTGCGGTGTGATTGGGGCTTGTTGTTTTTCGATCGCTTCTCGTGCTGCAGCGGCCAGTTCATATAATTGTTGCAGTGTAAATTTTGGCTCTGAAGAAGGTTCTGTTGTAGGCACATTAACGCAAGCGACGTTATCTCCCTTCTCCTCTTCTTTAATTTCCTGTACCTCTTCATTCTTCTCTTCATCCTTCTTTTCTACTTCCTTCTCCTCTTCGCCTTTGTCGTCGCGTGCCTTATCCTCAGACTCCTCGGAGTCCGTTGATGTGGGTACCGTGCGGCCTTCCACAGCACAATTCTCTTTTTTCCAGGAAAGTGTCCGTCGAAGCTTCTTCTTACGTGTCAATTTATTAGATTGACTCAAATCGAATGATACTGATTTAGTTGCGGATTGTGTTATTCGTTCGGTATTTGACTCATAGCTTGTCTGTTGTGGTGGTATGGAAAAACATGGATTTAGTAAACATGTCATATTAAATATAAGATTTTTTGCCTTACTAACCTTGAGTATGCTTGAGAGTCCCGATTCACTTTCCGCTTCCGATTGCTTTCCTAAAGAAGACAATGAAGACATTTCTTCCTCAGGATTTGATGTTTCGTTGAGATTTACGGTGGCTGTTGGCGGCTGTGGTGCCTGACGTTTAACCTTTTTTTGTAGAACCTTCTTCTCTTCGCTTTGAGCCTTAGAGTCATGCAGTTCCTCCTGAGTTGCTGGCTCGCTTTGACCCATTGCTGTTGGTGGCTGTGGTACCTGGTGTTGCACCTTCCTTTGTGAAATTTCTTGTACCCCATCATCGATGAGTATTTCCGTGGGATTTGTGGCTGTCGATGGCTTAGACAAAATCTCCTTCTGTTGGGTTTTTGTGTCTTGTATCTCCTCCATAGCTGATATCTCGTTCTTATTAAATTCTGCGGGAGGCTGTGGTGCCTGAGGTTTCACTTTCCTTTGTGAAACCTTCTGCTCCACCTCCTGTTCGGTTGCTTCTATGACATTATTTACAGCAGCTGCCGTTTCCGCAGCTGGCGGCTGCGGCGCCTGGCGCTTCACTTTTCTTTGTGAAACCCCCTGCCCAGCTTCCTCAGTTAGAGAAACTTTAGCTTCAGCTGCTGGAGGTTGCGGCGCCTGACGTTTAATTTTTCTTTGTGGACACCGGTTTTGTTCGTCCAGCAACTCGTCACTCGATGTGCCTGTCTTGCTATTCATCAGCTCAACTTCAATTACACTTTTATCAGCTGCATGATCTTCCCTTATCTCCTTAATTATTTTCATATCCTTTTCCATTCTCTTTAGACGATGACTCTCACGTCGCATTACACGAGCCTCAACGCTTTCTAACTTCGCTACTGCTTTATGCAGTAAAGCATGCATTTTTGATTTTGATTTCGTTGAGCTTTTTGAGGTGTTCACTTCATTTGTAACGTTAGACGACAAAGAGTCCTCGCTATTCTCTACCGAAGTGATGTTGAAGGTCACACCGTTCTTCTCCATTATCCAGTTGTAGAACATACGTTCCATGTATCGATCTTGAAAGATAGCCTTGGGTTGCAAGCGTTCAATTCTGGTGCGTCGTATCTTCTTTGGTGGCAAACTTGTATCGAAGGAAACCGACTTGCGCATGGAGTCATTGTAACGTTTCTGCGTTAGTTCGATCATGCGCATATCATTGATGAACTTTTGCTCACGTTGCTTGCGCGGAAGTGGGCGTGGCTCCTCTCGGCGAACGCCCGTGGGCTTCAAAACAACTGTCAGTGTGCTGATCTCTACGTCCTCTACGTCATCTAAATCGATTTCCTCATATTCTTCATCATCTATGTATTGTACGAGATCTACTTTCGCTTTTATTGGACTTTCATCTGCAGGGTTATCACCCGGCAGAGTAGACACAACGCGTGTTCTGGCTGCATCATATTCTGGAGTCTTTTGCAAGAATGCCAGACGCTTGACAGCCCATTTCGACATTTTCGGCTTGGTTGCTTGCAGTTTGTACTCCAGTTCTCGTGCCATGTCTTTAACTTTCGGTGATGTCACTTCATGCCCACTGCGTTCCAACTCGTTCCGCACTGTAGCCTCCACAACACGTGCGTGGATGCTAAATTGTGGATGCTGCTTAGACATGTCTTCAATGAATTTATTATACAAGAGCGCCTTGTCCTTGACAGAAAGCTTACGGAACACATCCTCTGCAACGAGACACGCGTTCTCGTTTTGTGCGAAAGGTGATGGTGTTGCCTTTGTTGTTGTAGCTGGCGTAGTCTTGCGCCTGAAACGTGGACTCGGAACTGGACTGGGCAAACCAGTACGAAAGGTAGGTAAGCGAGTCTTTCCTTTTGGTGCCGCTGTTGGTTTGCTATCCGTTTTTAGCTTCGATGATTTTTTCTCATCTGATTTGTTACTCGTCTTTTTTTCGTTCGAATTCCGTCCCATCAGTTGATGAATTCTGTTATTAAACATATGTGCCATTTGTTTGACTTTCGATTTGCGTGAAAGTTTTGGCGATTTCGTTGGCTCAGCTGCTAGTATGACTGGCGGGGCATATCGTAGCACGTCCTTTCCATTTCTTGCCTGCTTTGGTGATTTTTCTGTAAGCTTTGGCGATGCCTCTTGAAGCTTTGGATGTAACTCAGAATGCTCTAGCATCATCTCTTTGAGATTTGGATATAATCTTTGGGACTTTGATGTCTTTTCTTCTACTACTTGGGGTTTACATACCTTCGAAACCTCCTCTTGGAGCTTCATTTGATGCTGTTGGTTGCTTGGCGATTTGTTTAGAGACTTTGACGTCTTTTTTTCTTCCCCTTGTGGATTAAATGATTTCCTTGACGGCTCTTCGTCTCGTCTTAAAATATCATCTTGGGGGCTAAGAGATTTGTTTCGTATGTTCGGTGGGTCATCAGCCTCCTTTTTCTGCTCTTCCATTTTCACGGCCTCTTGGGGCTTCAACGAATTTTCTTGTTCTTCTACAGCGTCCTTTTGAGGATCAACCCCCTCCTCTACTAATTTCGTAGGTTTTTGTGATTTTGATGCACGTTCTTGGAGTTTTGGCTGCTTCTCTTGTGTTTTCGGCGAGTTTTCTTTCCCAATATTTTGTTCGTATTTCTTAAGCAACTCTCGTATGTTATTAGAATGCGGTTCGGGTTCACTACGCGATTTGGGCGATACACACTCTTCGTACGGTGGCGGCGGTGAACCTATATATTTCATATATCCTTGATAATTGGCGACTGCTGCGGCAACAGAGCCGGTGACAGGTAATCTGGTTGTTGGTGTTACACAACATGATCCACCGGACGATACATTAACATCCTCATCGAAGTATTTCAAGCAAACGTCCATGGTCTGTGAAACGGCATCTAGATCAGTTACTTGTACTGGCTTATTTGAATTCTGATATTCGAGCGCGAGTAAATAGCTATCATCTTCAACGGAGCACTCGAAGATTTGCTGCTGTATCATTGTGGCCTCCAATGGCGTCGGGTGGCTGTGGCGGCGATACGCTTTTTGCAACTCCTCTCGCTGTTCGATCTCCTTCGAAATAGTTAAACAATCCTCCAAATGCTCTTTGTTCACGGTAGATGTGTTGAGCACAAGTGGTTGTTGTGATGTATTTGGCTGATCACTGCTGGTGACAGCAATGGTATTGAGCAACATATTATTGCTGTTTATGCTATTAGGTTTTCGGATTCTTTGCAATTCACGATGATAAATATATTCTTGATACGCGTGTTCACTTTTAATGAAATGCTCATTCATACTGGCCGGCGGAGCTGTTGGCAGTGCCTTTTATACGCTCTCGGAAAGATCAGTACGAAAGGATCACATATAATTTAAGCCAAAGTTAGAAAAGGATAGCATATAAGTTATCGCACACACACAGCAGTTAAATACATGCACGAAGAAGGACATATGCATGTATGGAAAAGGCCGAGGAAAGATTGCACTAATCCCTACAAACAACAAATAAAAATATGTATTTATAAACGATGCTCGCGATTTTGGACGGAAATTCCAGGAAATGCTCTCGCGAAAATGTTCATAATCCGCATAATATCCTTATGTGCATATACACACGCACATGCAAACGCAAGTACCGGCAACGAAGCCCGCGATGTCTTGCCTGGCAACGAAGGGACAATGCTGCTGCAAGAGGAACACAATGCATGCAAGCCTAACAGTAAATCTTAACAATAATACAAATAATAGATCATTTCAGCTATGATAATTTGCAAATGCACATATGTATGTATACACACATGCATTTGTACATACGAGTGTGTACATATAAATATATGCATGTATACTCTTGCATACGTGTTTGAGTTCACTGCACTTAGTGTTTAGGGTTTTTCTTAGAAAATTGTTTTTGTTACGCTTTTTTGATACATTCATTTGGTCAATTGTTACAAATATGCGTTATTTGCGCAGCAACGCCTACAATTTTTTATAAATTTGTATATCCCTTCGACCTTGAATACTCGGTTAACAAGTGACCATGCATGCATACATACATACATACATACATATGTATATACATACGTGCATTTATATATACTCGTTATACATGCATACATACAAGTTACACATACATAGATAGATAAATACATACATTAGGTCATTCAAAGAAAATATACAAATTACAGGCTAAAGTATAATTAATTACAGACATATATGTATAACTATTCAAATTCTTTTTGACAAACTAAATTAATTTTATAAAATTATTTTTAAAAACAAAATTTTTAAACGAAAATAGAATTTAAACATTGAAAATTTTAATGAATCGTTAATTACACTTATTATTAATTAATTGTTTTCACCACCTTGCGAAAATCGGAAGCCTGGATTAAATATCTTTAAGCTTGACCTTTGACCGACTCTGATCCATGGGCTTACATTTTTTTCACAGAAAAATACAAAATTTTTTTTGTTTCTGAAAATATTTTATTTGCTTACTTTTCTTTAAAAGATGTACCATAAATCACCATAATTAATTTCAATGCAGCATTTATAACTTTCAGTTTTCCCAGTTTCCCCAAAAAAAACTCTATTTACAAAATTCTTGAAGTTAATTCTTCTTTATGATAACTGATTTTTTCCAACGAGAAGGTTTTTCGGAATCAAAAGTGTCTGACAGGTGAGAAAAACTATAATTTCCCAATAATTTAGGTATGTACGAGGTCATATCCTCTATTTTCAAATTCCGTGAGTTACGTATATTCGATTTTCGTTTTTTTTTTCGTTATGTTAGTACACATGTCTGTGATATAAGTTGGCAATATCAGTCATTTTGGATTGTCAATTTGTTTTTTTTTTCACATATAAAAAGGTTGGTCGTATTTAGGTGTCCTTGTCGATTTTTTACTATTTGAAAAAATGGATCAAAAACTGTTAAAGTTTTGTGTAAAAAAATAAATGAAATGAAATGTTGACTGTTACTTTTGCAGAGTTTACTATTAGCAGAAAACAAGTTCAACAGTGATATAACCGGTTTAAGAAAGGCCGAGAAGTTGCCAATGACTTTCGCCTGAGCACGTCAAGTTCTGTCAGATGTCAAAGTATTGCTCACTGTTTACCTCTGCTGAAATGGCGTGGTGCATCATGCATTCTTGCCACAAGGTCGTACGGTCAATAAGGAATACTACCTAGAAGTTATACGCCGTTTGCGTTTGTGGAAAAAAACAATCATGAATTTTGCACCATGATAACGCACCGGCTCAGATATCGATGCATGTGCGTGAGTTTTTGGCCAAAAACAAAGCTGTTATCATGCCTCAACCAGCGTATTCACCGGACTTGGCCACCGCTGACTTTTTCCTCTTCCCAAAACTGAACTGACAGCGATGAAAGGAAAGCATTTTGCTACGAGGAGATAAAAGAAAAATCGAAAAAGCAGCTATTGGCGTTACCAAAAAACGCGTTTCAGAAGTGTTTAGAGGATTGGAAAATGGTTGGCATAAGTGTATTATATCTGAAGGGGATTATTTTGAAGAGGACAAGATAGTGTTTTGATGATTAAATAAATAGTTTTTGAAAAAATGGAAAATATTTTTTGATTTATTGTATGTAGATTATTTATATTAACCTTTTCTTCAAAGTAAATTTTTCTTGAATGCAGTTTCTACAGTAAAGTGGATAAAAAAGCATACGCCTCTTACTTTTCTCTTTTTAATCAAAAACATTATTAAAAAATTTTTGAAAACATTATTTCGATTTTATTACTAGAAGTATTAGAGACTTAGAAGCTGTTGTAGTTTTCCATAAACCAAATTTTTTTTAGAAAACCTTATTGTATGCGCACTTTAGGTTCTAACAAAAAATACTTTATAATTAAGCAAGGTTTATAGAAAACAAGGTTACGAAAACATTTGGCGCCACAGTACCAACTTCTTCATATATACAGTGCGCGGTATTTGAAATTTTTAAAATAAAAATAGTTATTTTTTTTTAATATATTGTATGAATGTAAATATGGCAAAAATATTTTTATAAAAAAAATACCCAAATCATACTACTTTTGTTTTTGCGCTTACGTACAAAAGACGCCGCAGTCAGAGCTTGGTGATTTTTTGCTAAAAAAAAAATGGCACAAAAATGAATTAAACAACAAGCTACGGTGCAAGGCATGATCAAGTACGGACCCTGGTGGCTGAAGACTGCCAAATCATTTTTTCAGATACATTATATTGCTGACTATCCGAATTAAATTTAAATATAAAGTGGGGCGTCTAACGAATATAAATAATACCACATTTTTTCAGAAAATAAATAAATAAATATATATAACCCTAACACAATTTTTTTTCTAATTTTTTTCCACAATAACCCACTGTACACTTTTTCATCGCTTCGAATTTTTAAACACTATTTTTTCGCCTTACGGGTATCACCTATTTCCCAAAAGCTCTTTAGCAGACAAATAAAATTTGTCAAAATCGGTTTCTATATAAAGTTTGAAAAAAACTGAATTTTGATAATTTTACACGTTTTTGTCATTATTTATTCGTGCCATTTGAATTACATGACACCAAAAGTTAGAGTTACTAGCCATAGAAATTTTTGTTAAAAAATAATAGAAATTTTGTATAATTTGATTAAATTACAAAATGTTTAAAAATTACAATACATTTGTTCGCCATTAAACTATTCAGAACATTTTAATTGTTATTAATTAAAGAAAAATAAAAAAGGGGAGATAAAATTATGCAATTTCTTTTTTTAAATTTTTGGCAACCCATAAATGGAACCCACAATAAACATATGATTTACATCTTGCCGTAACCTTCTATTCTCTAAATCTTGTTATTAAATATAAAAATACGTCGTTACAAAAAAATATTCAAAAAATATTCTCCAAATATTTTAAGACACTGAAAAAATCAATCAAAATTTGTGTTCAACAAACTAGTTATGGACTAATTCATCGTCTTTGAACTGAGTATTTAAAATCAAAACCAAAACTGTGGGACACTTCCAGCTCCTGTCAAAAATTACGGATTACGTAAGTCCAAAAAATTTTCGTTTTATATTCGAAGAAAAATCGTGATTTAATCGTTAATATATACGAGTATGTATATATTTGGCGCTGTTTAACCACTGAAGCGATATTTAGTCGAGTTTCTCTTTCAACTTGTGGTATGGAGAGACCATTGTTTGTTGTAAGCCAATGGAATTTTTCGAGGTGCTATTTATTTCATATCACAAATACACTAACTAGAGAGGCGGCCGCAACTAAGAAAAAATTAATTTTCTATAATTTTGATTGTTTGGTCGGACCAGGGCTCGAACCCTAGCTTTCTAAATACCCGTAAACAAAACTAACAACTCTGCTATTGCGGCCAATTTTATATTGAGTGAAACTACACTTTCTTTTTTTTACCATGTGTACGAGTGCTTGTGTCATTTTCGGTGCCTTTTCAAGATTTTTCCCAAATTTTTTGTATTAGGACTTATGTTTGTGAAGCAAATTCTTACATACATACAACAATATTTCCAACACATTGTACTATTTGCTTGCTCTAGCTTAATCAAATACGGTGAAAGACATGTCAGTACTAAATAATTGCAAATCCCAAAGCTATAAAACTGCCGATAAGCAGCTCATAAAGTTTAAATGCGGAATTTATGATTGCACTCATGCAGTAACTGAGTATCGTAATACTGTAATATATGAACATAACCTTGTATTTAAATAAATTCAATAATAGTTTACTAAGCAAAATAAATAATATGTAAATTAAAAAAAATTTATGTAGTTATCAATACTTAACAACACTTTTGCCATTATTGATGATAACATCTGATTTTAAAATCGATAAGGAGCTGAAAGCCATGACAGCTAGTGATCTTCTATGTTTTAATTATATATTTTCTATATTTTACAATTAATAATAATAAATAAATAAAATTGATAACTGACTCTATCATGAATTCCACGTGACAGTTACAATCTATTTTTATATTTTGAACATCTCAATAACTGACAATTCTTGCTTTGTTTTTTTTTTTGTTTTGCAATGAATTCATTTATAAAAATTAAAGTTAGTCGAAGAGAACCTTAAAGTAGGCCAGTGAAGATTATTAAAGATCATTTTTTTTCCAAAATTCACCGAAAATTAGTTTAGTTAACTTATACATAACTATACATATTGTACGTGGAAAAATCTTTATTCTTTATATGTATATATCATGCTAAAATTATTTTCGCCAAATTCGCTTATTTTTCTGACTAACAATAGAAGTATTGTCCGCTTTAATGG